AAGTACATAACCAGCCAGTGTTCAAAACTATCGCCTTACTTTAGCCCGATTCACAACGGTTATCTTATAATAAAGTTTTGTAATTTGAGTGGTACAGGTAGGTTTTTTGTGGGAAATTTGAGCATGGCACTGCATCATCATGTCACTTCTCATCTGTGATTGCGAAGTACAGTAAATATCCACACCGGTGCGGTGACTGACTGCCACACATACTCCTCAAAACATTAGATTCATCCGCGCTGGAGCCGTGCCGGCTCACAACCCACGCAAGCTAGATAATTTCGCACACAACTGCAATTCCAGGTTTTCAAACAGAGATGGCGACAAAGAGGCAAAACTTACGGACTGCAGCTTTAAAATAGAAACCGTATCATATAGCATTCATACCGAACCTCAGTCCTACATTGAGCTCTTGTTATTGTGGTTTGTTTCAGGGCCTGACCTCGTATCTTCCTTCTCCATCTTTACTCTCTCCTCACTCCAAACTACAGATGTCCACGTCACTCAGTGCTCAACTCATTCCACAGGCCACCCTCACCTCACACAGCAGTATGTTCTCTACATTATCCTTCATATTATATAGGATAACTCGAGCATGCATTGTTTTGAAGAGCACATCTCAGACTATAAAGTAGAGAAGAATGGAAAAATGTGAGTATTTTTATGTATTTATGTATGTTTATGTATTTATGAAAAGTGTAGTTTGTTTCTGTGGCACTTAAAACCACATGAAATCACATGTCATGAGGTCTTTAAATCTGCCTTTTCTCTCACAGGTGGTTACAGTCCTGCTGGGCAGCCCATTAGAAGAGCTCCATCCCTCAAACACCAGAAAGTAAGACACTGGCTACGTTTACATGCACAATTTTAGGTTCAATCGGACTGAATTCATTCCGATTGATGAATCTGAATGTAGTGTTTACATGAACGCTAAATAAAGTGATCGGGTTGATGTGCGCGTTTGTATGTCACAAGCTTCAAATCTGCATTTTTTTGACATGCGCACACTGCACAAATATAGTTTCTCACTGTTGTGAGGCTCGGCCATTGCACTCTGGTTGTGCTGACTCCTGCGAATTCCCCAAATGTGGGAATCTTGACTGCATAATTTATGGTGGTGGGGGACTGCGTTCGCGCTCTCCCCCGAATTAACTGGTTAAACTAGGGAAGTCGTGGCCTAATGGTTAGAGAGTCGGACTCGTAACCCAAAGGTTGTGGGTTCGAGTCTCGTACCAGCAGGGATTGTAGGTGGGGGGAGTGAATGTACAGCGCTCTCTTCCACCTTCAATACCACGACTGAGGTGCCCTTGAGCAAGGCACCGAACCCCCAACTGCTCCCCGGGCGCCGCAGCATAAATGGCTGCCCACTGCTCCGGGTGTGTGTTCATGGTGTGTGTGTTCACTGCTGTGTGTGTGCACTTTGGATGGGTTAAATGCAGAGCACTAATTCCGAGTATGGGTCACCATACTTGGCCACATGTCACATCAAAAAAAATAAAATAAAAAATGCCCCTCCCCGCGCCCAAAACGGGTTGCCTGTCATGCACTCTCAATCGTATTAGAAAAGGAATAAACCACCCCCTTCAATCCGATCGAAATTTCATTCCGATCGAGCTCAATCGGATCGATTAAGATGTTTACATGAAGGTTTTTCAGTCCGATTGAGCCATCAATCCGATTACAAATGTGGATTATTTGGTTGCATGTAAACGTAGCCAGTGACTACGTTTATATGCACACGAATAATGTGATTATTTCCAATAATCAGAGTAAGGACTTAATCGCATTATGATGTTTACATGTCAAGAGCAAAGCTCTTCATTCCCGTTTACATGCAATTTCCATTATTAGTATTATTCGCTAAGAATTGTGGTTATTTTTTTACCGCCATTATTCATTATAAACGCAAGTTTGTTGTGTATCCGGCCTCGGACATTTTTGTCTCGGACAAAATTGGCGTACGCCATCTATGTTAATACGATTGTGCTTGCTGCGATTATGAGCTTAATCGCATTATTTAGATCGGAGTATTGCATTTACATGAGGTAAAGTTTAATCGCAATATTGCCAAAATCTCATTATAATCACATAAAGAGGGTGCATGTAAACACTCACTGTGATCTGGTTCTGTATTATACTACCATTCAAAAGTTTGAAACAAATTAATACTTTTATTCAGCAAGGACGCATGAAATTGATAATAAGTCACAGTAAAGACTGTTTAAAATAAATGCTGTTCTTTTGAACTTTCTATTCCTCAAAGAATCCTGAAAAAACTGTATCACAGTTTGCACAAAATATTAAGCTTCACGACTGGTTTCAACATTGATAATAGTAAGAAATGTTTCTTAAGCAGCAAATCAACATATTAGAATGATTTCTGAAGGATCATGTGACACTGAAGCCTGGAGTAATGATGCTGAAAATTCAGCTTTGCATCACAGGAATAAATTAAATGTTAACATATATGAAAATAGATTGTGTTCATGTCCACAGAGTTTACTGGATTATGAATTCCCTCAACTAGCAGAGACTGACTTTGGGCAAATCAATCAAACGGTAAATTTTAATGTTTTATATTATAATAGATTACTATAAATGTGGAATTACTTGGAGTTAGTTTATGATCTCTTATATGAAATGTTCTCTAGGTCGTGTCTTTGTACGAGTACAGAGCCGATCGATCAGATGAGCTGTCGATACGCCGTGGTGACGTGATCCATGTGCTGTACAAAGACAATGAGAGCTGGTGGTTTGGGCGACTGGTCAGTGGGCAGGAGGGATATTTCCCAGCATCCTATGTGGCCGATGAAGGTTTGTGAATGAAGTTTGATAACCAAAATCACATGTATGATATTAAACTGTCTAAATCCATGTGTATCTCCCATAGGGAGTTTTGATGAAGAGCTCTCAAGAGCTTTAGAAGCACAGCCGTCACCGTTAGATCAACCTGAAGGATTTGAGCGTACAACACCAGTCCAGGTAATGACAAATGCTCATTTATTCCTCCCATAAAGTTAGTGAAACTTTATACTAGTTTGACCCTTATGATCTGTGTTCCTCCTGCAACTGTCTGCAGCCATCAGTGCCTCTGGAGAGCTGAAGATCATCTCAGAGCTAGACACTGGCCCTGAGGTGTCCTCCACCACGTATGAATTAACCACATCTGCCATCCGAGTACTTGTTTTCTTGAGCACATATTGAGATTATTTTCTTTTACAGAACAAAAAAGAAGAAGAAAAAGGTGAAGCGGAGTGAAGTTCCCTCTGCTCTGCCTCAGGTCCCGTCCTCAGATCATGAGATGTCTTCAACATCTTCCAGAAGAAGGAGACCCCTCCCCAGACTAGGCCAAGCCAACGGTGTGTTTAACGGTGAAGGACCAAACTGATGTGACTGAATCTGATTGCTAAGACTTCCCCCTGTTATGAAGGAACTAAAGACATAGAAACAACGTGTTTTCAAAAGTGTTTTATGTGGATGTATTTTTTGTAGTTGGCCTTATTTTAAATATATATATTTTGTAATTTTGATACTGATATTTGTATTATCATGTAGTTTCACAGGATTTTTTTTACTGTATTTCTGTACAGTATTTTGTGTACTGTTTTATTTAAATTTTTATGTTTAAACATTTTTAATTAAATTCAAATTTTCAATATAACAGCAACAACCCCAGCAGTAATCATGACATATATAATAAAAATGGGTGCTGTATAAAAGTTTGTGTTTACATAATGTGTGTGTGTGTGTGTGTGTGTATATATATATACACACACACACACATGCATGTGTATATTTAAGAAAAATATGTTGTTTATATATTATATTTATATATAAATTATATATTTTCAAAATATATACTGTATGTGTGTATTTATATATACTTAATAAATATACATGGTACACACACATATTATGTAAACACAAACTTTTATTTTGGATGCCATTAATCGATTTGACTGCACTAATAAAAATATATATTTTGTTCACATAACAGAAGGGAATAAACTATGGTATTTATTTAGCATCAGATTTAATGTATGCAGTTGATTCAATCTATTTATACATTTATGTATGACAAATTAATGCACGATTTTAAAATGTTACAATTTTAAACAACAATTGCACATATTGTAAAGTAAAAGATTAAATAACTTTTGCAGTGTTGAAAGGGTCAATATTTATGCAACCACTCCAAAGAACCGAAGGATCTCATTGCTATGAAAAGACATTAATGCACATTGTAAAAATGTATTTTGTAAAACTGTACATTTGTAGAAGTTGTTTCCATAAGGAATATGGCAATAATTTGTAAATCTGTAAAAGCAGTCATAATGGGGTCAGTCACAAACTAGGGCTAGACGGGTAATCTGTATTAAGCAATATTAAAGTACAAATCCCACATTCTTGCACTAGTCCAAAAGATTTCTGAACAAGACCTCAGAAATAATCCAGTGTACTGTACTGTAAGACACACTGTAATGAATAATTTTATACACAAGGAGCTCTTAATTTCAATTTACTTCAAAAATTTACACCTATTTTTCAGAATGGATTATATCTCATGTTAAGTTACTAAACACAATAAATAAGCCAAAATATGTTTCACTATTTCACTTTAGTTTGTAAAATGTCCTTGTTGTGACTGTCAAGATGAATATTTAACTGCCAAAGCAGCATTTGAGATGCAAGATGGTTAAGAAAATAACAAACCCTAGCTGGGCAGCATCTTCTAGTGAGGGAATATGTACATCGTCACCCTACAATATTCCCAGAAACGGGGTAAAAGATAAAGTGTTTCATCAATAGGCACATCTCAGCTCTGTTTAGTGTGAATGTCATCTCTTTATTATTATTATACATTCAACTTTAATACATTTTGCCTCCTCTCTTAATTCAATCTTCTTACAGGACTTTTGACATTTACTTTGTAAATGTTCACTGAACTCCTGTGTACAGAGGTTCAGCTGATCTTGAAATAATACATGTATGACATCTTTGTTGTTAAACTGACCTTCTCCACGTTCTTCATTTGTCATCTGTCAGTCATATCCCACATCACCTATATTTAGCAGCAATATGATTACGTTTGTTCTTCCATTTAAAAGCGTGCAGCAGCTTATTTCAGCTGACATCAACCCTGAGATGATCTGTCTTGGGGAGAAGAGGGGATTTTTCTCCTTGCGATAATGACGTGTCAGTCCTGTTGGCCTTTTGTGACCTGAAAAAAAAAGATCATGCATGATCAAGTTTCCTATGACTGTTTTCTAATTATACCACTTTTACCAACTTAAGAAATACGGAATGATTTTTAAATATTAATATATATTAATATTAAATTATTTAATTTTAAAGAATTTTTACCATATTGCTGAATAAAGTAATCAAAATATAAAAAAATGTACTTACTTCCTTTGTATGTCCTCTAATGTGAAATATATTACTTGTAGTAAGGCCTAGAGAATGTAAAGGTAAACATAAGCCAATAAATAAATATTTATCATTAAAGTGCATACATTACTAACCAATTGAGAAAGTTAAGAAAATGCAAATCTATTATAGAAATGGTCTGTTATGCATAGAGTTTGTTCTTACAGCGAGAAAGGCGAGTGCACCTTGAACTCCTGCGCTCCATTCAAAGTTGAGTGCTTGTGTGATGTATCCTCCAATAGTCGGCCCAAAGAACATCCTTCAGCATGAAACAGATGCTTCAGGTTTCATGAGGGGGAATTCTAAACAATATTCTTGAATATTGCACGTAAACTTTATTTTAAATACACACCCAGCAGACCAGACTGCTGAGAACAAGCCTGACACCAATCCCAGGGTACTCAAGTCTTCCTCAAAGCCATTTTCACTGCAATACGAGGAACACGTGAGCCAAAACATGTTTTTGGTATGTATGTATTTTGTAGAGGTTTGTACTGTTGTATTTTGCTCAGTTTCAGGGTTAACTGCATTTATTCAAACCATTTCAGGAATTTCGTGTGACATAACTGAGTGAATTAAAGTCACAGACAGAGTAACCTCTTAAAGGGGTCATATGACATTGCTATAAAAGAACATTATTTTGTGTATTTGGTGTAATGAAATGTGTTTATGCGGTTTAAGGTTAAAAAACACATTATTTTCCACATACTGTACATTATTGTTTCTCCTCTATGCCCCGCCTTTCGTCGATTTTTACAAAGCTCATCTGTCTGAAAAGCGAGGTGTGCTCTGATTGGCCAGCTATCCAGTGATTGGCGATTGGCCGAATACCTCAAGCGTGTGACGGAAATGTTACGCCCCTTACCATACTGTGATGCCGGCGCGACGAGACAAAACCAATAAAACAGATTACAAACGAGGCATTTGTTGCATCCAGTGGGGACATAGTTACGGATTATAATGACTTATACTGTCTTTTTACGCGTTGCATCGCGCCGCGTAAAAATAAAACTATGTCTGCATTTGTGCTGTGAGTCAGAACAGCCGGCATTGTAGTCTACTCTACCAGGTTCAGGAAAAATTCCTCCGTTAAATGCGTTGCACACAGACGAATATTTGGTTTGAACTGTTCTGGAACAGTGTTGTAAATACAACTTAACCACTGATTTCTAGTTGTGTCCTCTTTTGGAAGACCAAACAAAGTAGTTTAGCTTTCACAACGAAGCACACAGCGTCTTCACGACATGGCGGCGGCGGCAACAATACTACAGCGAGAATAAAAGTTACGCCTTCTTTCTTTGTGTGAACATTTGGGCGGTGTTATGCAAATCTTCCCACACAGTGACGTAGACATGTGGGGGCGTGTTTAAACGAGGCATTTTAGGAGGGCGTGGACGAGTCTTAACTTTTATAAAAAATATCTCTTTGGGTTTGAGACTTTAGTCTTTGCAACTTTAGGGATCTTATCTATGCACTAACAGCTTGTAACACTCCAAAGAGAAAGGAAAACTTGAAATCGCATCATATGACCCCTTTAAAATGGTTAACTGGGAGTGGATTTGTATGATGATGTATTTGCCTCACTGTGCACAAGCGATCATCTCAGCGAAGGTGGGGATACAGGTCATACAGAGAGAGAAGCCCACCACGATCAGCATGAGGACGGTGAGCCAGAGCTGACTGAACACACAAACATTTCACCGATTACTGACAGATTTGTGCTTTAATGAAACATTTGAATTGCCATTCAAAAAATTTGAAATTAATGTTTCACCTCCTAATATGGAAAATAGGAAGTGGGCCGAGGAAACAAAAGCTCACCGCTGTGGCCATTCCTCCAATCACCATCATCCATTTCCTAATTGACTGCATGAGAATCATTTTACAGCCACAGATAAAGTTATTTCTTAATAAATTAAATGTGATTTACACTTATATTGAAAAACAAAACATTTACCAAAAAAATTAAAAACTAAACTTAAAAAATATTCAAAATTGATATAAAAACATGATAAAATAATTAAAAAAAATGGTTAATTCAAAACTAAACATCTTAAATGTATGAATGCAATTAAAATAAATAAATACATAAAGCATCAAAAGTCATTAGGAATTTCAAACTTTTGTTCTATTAGAATTTTCAATCATCACTGTAAAAATGTTAATTGTTTAAACACTGACTTACAGGATATTTATCACTGATCACACCAAAGACAGGTGATGCCGCCCCATATGGCAGTGACAGTCCAATCATGAGCAGCCCCACTGAACCGGCACTGAGATTAAGCTGGTCGCAAAAAAATATGCACAAAGATGTTTTATATTATTATAATGTATGAGAACTTTTAGATTAACATTTACAACAGCATTTTGGAATGATATATATTACATTTTTTATATATTATATACATTTATACATATTATAAATTCATTTTTCAGTGTATTATATATTCAGTTTCAGTGTTCTAAATCTTCATAACCTTTTCTATGGCAAATATGGACAGTGTTGCATCCAGGAAACCAAGTCCTGAACTCAACGAGAACACCACGAAGCAGATGAGAAGGATCTTCATTCTGGTACACAATCTGAGGAAGGAATTCTGGGAAGAAGGAACAGCATCTATATTGGAATGAAATAAACAGACACGTCTATCTTCATGGCTGGAGGGCAAACAATAACAAAAGCAGACACAAGGCAATCACATCCTTGTGACAACTTAACCAGGAGTATGCTACATGGAATAGTCTTAAATTGAATTATTAAAAACATGTCATATTTAACCAGTATGAAGTCTGCACAAACCAAAGCTTGGTAAAATCCACAAATTGAGAGGCACTGTCGCAAACAGAAGACATCCTGTGAAAACGAATGGGATTTCATATCCAAATGACTGATAGAGCCAGCCGCCCAACGGAGGACCCAATATCAGGCCAAGACCTGTAAAAATCTCCATGAAGCCCTGAGAGAACAAGATAGCACTGATTACAGCTTTACTGTAGAGACACATTTAACATTTTCGCACACTTGTGTAAATATTAAAACCATAAGAATGGTTCCATCATTGTGTATGCCTTGACCGTGAGAAACCAAACAACCAGTCAGACTGAATAACTGAATCTATAGAGAAACAGCACATCTTTTGTGACGTGCAATAGTGCTTCCTTTGCCACTTTACTACAGTAACACCATTACTGCACTGAAAAACAAGCACTGACCACAACGCACCAAAACAGTCGCTATGCTCTCGGGGAAAACTTTTGCTGAAACTGCAAAAGACGATGTAACGGCGGCGGAAAAGCCGATTGCATTTATGCACCGTGTGATAAAACAGAGCACGACGAAAACTGTCCCATCAGACACTTGGTCAAGAAATCTGCAGAAGAAATGATATAATTAATGATGAAATACTAAAAATTAGTGTTACATGAGTTTTCCTCTATTTTTCCAGACTAGAAAGGTAATTTTTTCAACATTTAGGCATAATCTAGCATGTAAATGACCTGAAAGTTAATAGTCATGGCCTAAAAGATGCTAAATACTCATATAAATGTTTAACACACAACAAAACAACACAGATTTACTGACCCGAAGAGTACAGTACATCCGCTCGATACGAACAACCCTGCAACGATCATAAACTTGGCTCCTATCTGGACAATCTGAAACAGAGGTCAAGTGCACTGATATAGTGTGCAATCCATAATGGAAAGCTGTTGTTTATCTTCTGAAATAATGATTAACTTACATATTTACCAAGTAACAATGAGCCCACTAAAGTACATAATGCATAGATTCCGAATATTAAACCAATCATAGCTTGACTGACACCTTTCTTCTTTGCCTAGAAAATGAATCAGATCAAAAGTAATACATTATTTTATCCTACTGTAAGAAACTTTAAATGCCTTAGAGTACTTAGAACAAACTATGTTACATTTCATATTGTTGACTATCCCTGTTGAAAAAAAAAAACAGCATACGCTGGTTAGGTATGTTTTGACGCTGGGATGCTGGTTTAAGCTGGTCCTTTGCTGGTTTTAGCTGGTCCTTTGCTGGTTTAAACTGGTCCTTTGCTGGTTTATGCTGGTCCTTTGCTGGTTTATGC